TGTGGGGTCCAGGGCATATGCCCGGGTTGTGGGCTCCATTCTCAGTGAGTCTCTCTCATCATTGATGTTTCTCTCTCTCTCCTTCTGAAATCAAACAATATACATATACATACATATATATATATATATATATATATATATATATATATATATGTTTTTTTTTTTTTTTAATAGAGCCACTTGGGAAATGGTATAACATAAAAGTTAAAAACATGGACTTTGGAGCCAGACTTCCTGGATTTAAATACCAGTTTCACCATCCACTAGTTGTTAGACCTTAACCAAATTACTTCTGTTTCCTCACCTGTAAAACGGGAATCATCACAGTACTTACACTGTAGGGCTGTCATGAGAATTAAATGAGCGATATTTGTAAAGCACTTAAACAGGGATCCACAAGTGTCTATTTAATTAAGTGCTGCACAGGTGTTCAGGAGTCATGCAAAGAGCTAATTGCTGTTACACTCTCTGTATTAAAATGGGCTGGTGAGGACACACAGAAGAGAAAGTGACACATCACTGAAGTGGGCATGAGACAGTAAAAGCATGAGCAATCATTAGATTATACATACACACCAAAACACTGGATTCTACACATATTTAATCTGTCAGCCTTGGCACTAAAATGTCCTCAATGAGCTTTCACATTCCTGTGTAGTCACTGATGGTTCCAGACCAAACTGGCCTCTGAGACCTTGGGAAACATACGCCACCTCTGTCCTGGGTCATATGGAAACGGAAGGAGTCAAACTACATGTTTGATCTCTAAGGCCCAACTCTGATAGACCCAGGAAGGTGGCAGCCTGATCCTTAAGAAAAATATAAAATGAAAAGAAGAAAATTAATGGACTTTTATTAAAATTTTAAACAAAAAGGTTGTTGAGTTGGGACAAAAAGAGCACTGCCCTCCTTTCCCTTATCTGCAGAGCAAAAATAAAAATCCTATCCTATATAATAAAACCCTAATATGCAAATTGACCAAACGGCAGAATGAGCAGCGGAACAACCAGTCGCTCTGATGCGCACTGACCACCAGGGGGGCAGATGCTCAACACAGCTCCTGCGTTGAGCGTCTGCCTCCAAGAGGGAGGTCACCAGCAGCGGAGATTGGTGAGTGCCCGCCCGCCCCCCACCTCACATCCCGCAAACCGGCAGTCAGACATCCCCTGAGGGTGCAGGTGGGGCTGAGGGACCCCCTCCCCCGCACGCATTTCGTGCACCAGGCCTCTAGTAGAAAATAAAGTCATTAGACTTTCACTCATCATTCCATCTGAACAGAAAAAGCAGGGAGAAGACCAGCACCCACATTCGAGAGCCCCTGAGGAGTTACCTCAGGTCTCAGGTAACAGACTTTGCATATGAAGGGGGAGCCCAGCACACACTCCTGAGAGGCCCCTCAGGAAGATTCTTGTTTGTACAATGCCATTAAAAGCAGGGCTGCACCAGAAACAAAAACCCACATGTTATGATTCCCTTTATATGAAACTAGAGGCCCGGTGCATGAAATTCGTGCCCTCTCGCAGTCAGGAAGCCCTCGGGGGATGTCTGACTGACACGGGCCTAAGCCACAGTAGGACATCCTTAGTGCTGTCGTGGAGGCGGGAGAGGCTCCTGTCACTGCCGCTGCGCTCGCCAACTGTGAGCCCGGCTCAGGGCTTTGTGGCTGAGCAGCACTCCCCCTGTGGGAGTGCAATGACCACCAAGGGGCAGCTTCTGCATTGAGCGTCTGCCCCCTGGTGGTCAGTGCGCAACATAGTGACCAGTTGTTCCACCGTTTGGTCGATTTGCATATTAGCCTTTTATTATATAGGATGTCCGGAATTAGGCAAATCCATAGAGACAGTTAGTAAAATGGTGGTTTCTGGGGACTGGGATGTAGGAGAAAAGGGGAGTGACTGCTAATGGGTGTGGGGTTTCCTTTTGGGGAGATGAAAATGTTTTGGAATCAGATAGTGGTGATGCTTTCAAAATTCTATGAATATACTAACCACTGAATTGTTCACTTTAAAAACTTTTCATGTGAATTATAGCTCAGCAAAAGGAGGGGGTAAATCTACCTTAATAATGGAGGTTCCTATTATTATCCAGTAGTCTACCTTCTCTTATCAGGAATAGAGGAAAGTAAGGAGATTAAGGTAATTCTGTCAACAGCTCTTGATAACGAGGCGGCTGGAATTAGATTTCATGTTGCCTATTCATGAAACATCTGGTGGCCAAAGAGTCTGGGAAAATAAAAGATTACAGACTGAAATTATGTCCACAGAAAGCGAAGGTCACCTGGAGGAAGGGAGCACCTGGTAAGGCACTGGTTGTCCTCCAGGAGCACTGGCCAGCCTTCAGCTGTGTGCCTGCTCCAACATGCCACGCCCTGACCTGGAGCCAGGTGCACCTGAGCCCACCCACTGATTTCCCAAGGCAGTGAGTCATAAGAAAAGCTAGGAAGCCAAATGAGCTTTTCCAAATGTCATTTCCGCACCCTACAGCCACTAGGCCCGGTGCTGACCATTATGCACAACCTGTGGACACCTCTATGACGGTCCAATAGGAGGAAACAGCAGGAGCAAATGCTGAAAGGTGACAGAAGAAGGGCTAGACATAGTTTGGCAGGATCATCAACTCCTTCTAGAGGTCACAGGAGTCCTCTCACGCCCTATTTAAAACCCACTCAAGGCTGCCAAAAAACATGCAAACTCCCTACAACTTGGAATAAAACCCGCAGTTCTTGTACCAGACGCGGGCCGGGCCGGTAGCACCTGCACCTCTCCAGTCCTCCCTCACTGCTCTTTCCTCTCACAGAGCTTACTGAGCGCCCGCTGCCCAGGGGCCTGGCACAGGCTGCTGCCTCTGCGCTTGGCTGGCCCCTTCTCATTCCTCAGGTCTTAACTCAAATAGGATCTCAGACAAATACTGGAGCCCTTCCTGTTATTCTCTGCCACGGCTCCCTGTTGATTTTCTTTGGGGAAAGAAAATCACTCTCTCACTACATTACTTTTTATCGTGGTTTATCCTGGTAGTCTGTTCGTTCACAGAGGGTGGAGAGCATATCCACCTTAGTGCCTGGCCTATCTAACGTGCTGCCAGTGTCTGGCTTGTGGCTGGCATTTGATTTTTGCTAAATAGATGAACTTGTATTTTTAACTATAAATCTGGCTAGGGAGCACAGGGGAAATGACAAGAGGCAAGGAGAACAGTTAAAGTGAAAGTGATCACAGACCACACATGAAGTTAACACTGATTTAGATGCTATTAATACCACCATGTTCAAGGGCTTTCTTTCTGGCAATGATACAATCACATGAGCTAAGTAATGAACAGACTTGAGTAGACGAACGGAACACGGGTTGCCTGAATGCTTACTGACTGGAGGGGGGGGGGGGGTTGGGGGGGGACGGCTACATGTTTTATTCTGTGCACATAGTCCCAGGTCTCCTTGAACCTCCCTCACAAAGCAGAGGCCAGGTGGACTTCTGGGCTATTCCCAGGGTCAGCAGGCCATTCCCTCCACCCCCGCCCCATCTTCAAGAGTAACAAGCACAGGTTACCGCTGTCACTTTTCAACAGGGATTCTCAACACTGACTGCACATTAGAATCCTAAAAATTATAAAGGATTGAGGATTTTTAAAAATCCCCAAGCTGAGGCCACACCACAGACCAATTACATCAGAATCTCTGCGGGTGGAAACCAGGCATCAGTATTTTTTAAGGCTCCTCAGGTAATTCCAATGGGCAGTCAGGGCTGAGAACCACTGTTTTAGGGAAAAGCCCAAGTACCCAGAGGCCAGTCTTTACTCAATTCCCGCATAGTCACAGAATCTTGTATTTATTTGGTAAAGAGTGGGTCTCAAAAGAAGCATCCTACGAATAAACACTAATCCAGAAATATTCATTATTTCCTGAATTTTTGCTTACACCATTAAATTTCCTTTATTCGATTTTTAATACTTTTCCAACTCTTATTAAGATATACGGCAGCCCTGACCGGTTTGGCTCAGTGGATAGAGCGTCGGCCTGCGGACTGAAGGGTCCCGGGTTCGATTCTGCCCAAGGGCATGTACCTTGGTTGCGGGCACATCCCCAGTGGGGGGTGTGCAGGAGGCAGCTGATCGATGTTTCTCTCTCATCGATGTTTCTGGCTCTCTATCCCTCTCTCTTCCTCTCTGTGAAAAATCAATAAAATATTAAAAAAAAAAAAAAGATATACGGCAAATGTCATTTTGCCTCAGAATATTGAAGTAGAAAAGAAAACAAAATGTATATACTTGGTGAATGATTCTAAAATATATAAAACTCACTTACCTGATCTACTCAGAAATATGACTGTCTCTACCATTTCACAGAATTCTTAGCAAAACTCAAAAACTACTTTAAAAAATGGCCCTGGTTAGAATCAATCCTGTCCAGGTCAAGGAGAAGCAGCATATTCACATTCTGTCCGTGCCTTCAGTCACACCCCCGTCCACACACCCACAGATCTACTTATCTGTCCCACCTACCGGAGACTTTTATCTTTCTAAAGCCCCAGCAATGATCTCATCAGACCAACAGAGAGGTTATGTTTCGCACAACATTATGTACCAAATGGCACTGATGTGGGGGAAGGGCTGGATTTTTTCCATGCTATTCAGTATTGATGAAAATCCAGATGCTTTGCTAACTCAATATAATTCAAACAGTGAGGCAGTACTAAGCGGCCACACCCGATTTGTTCTAAATGTGATGAAATCTAGAGCACAAACCTGAAAAATGCTTTAAAAGCTTTCTTTTTAAAAGAGATCCTGCAAGCAGACTACACAAACGGAAGAAAAGTAGAGTGTACAGCTGGATGATTTTGACTGTTATCGTAGGCACAGTGATATGCAAGCCATTATGAATCAGGGTTGTCTACAAACTTGCTATATACACCATATGCCAGCAGATACTGTTAATGGAAAATTGCTATTCTTGTACCTCTTTCATTGATCTGAAAGCCAAACTAGTTGTTCTGCTTTGCCTTCAGAATATTTTGGTATTCCCATAAAACCCGGGTGGTGCTGTAGCAGGTAATGCTGGAGAGGGTAAAGCTCTTCTCAAGCCGAAGACTGATGATCTCCAGATGCATACGCAAGCAGTGTCCTATATGTAGCTAGACTTTCTGGAGTGCCACTACATCTGCCAGATTAACATAGTAACTATTACTTACGTAATTTCAATTTAATTGTTCAAATCAAAACTTCTAAGACATGTTTCCTCCCTTCCAATGATAGACACAAAGGTGTAATAATGTGTTATCTGTGCCTTAGCCTCCTAGCTTCCTTTATTTTTGTCCCTGTGGTTGAGGAAAGTTGTAAAAACCCATTCAATGAAAGTAAAACCCACCAGCTTTCTTGGGAAGAGCTGCAGAGTAAAACAAAATTCATTTTTGTGAGGAATAGTTACTAGTGGAATGCATGGAAGAATGAAACTGTACAATATTTCAAAATAAACACTGTAAAGTAAAAACAACCTCAACAAATAATAACTTCAGTTCCTCATCTGCTAAGATTCATTTGTGATTTAGTTTAATTGCATACATTATTTATATAACCAAGGAGCTATATTCAGGATACATTTCATAAGGTTTGTTTTTATACCAGTATTAGGGTGTTTCCCAGTTGCCCGAAATAAGTGGCAAGCCTTTTTATTTTTTTTAAATTAAATATATTGGGGTAACACTGTTTCATAACATTATATAAGTTTCAGGTGTACAATTCTAGGGTATATTATCTGTATACTACATTGTGTGCTCACCACCCAAAGTCTAGTCTCCTTCTCTCACCATATATCTGACCCCCCCTTATCTTCATCTTCCTCCTCGCCCCTTCCCCTGTGGTAGCCACCATACTGTCGTCCATGTCTGTGAGTGTGTTTGTGCTTTCTATTTCATATCCCACATATGAGTAAAACCATGTGGTTCTTCTGGCAAGCCTTTTTAAAATCAGGAGAAAATTCTCCCAGTATCTGAATTAACATTAATTCAGACTTAAGGAAGTCCTAACTGATGGGGCTTTATTGTCTATGCACGTGAATATAAGGTGAAACACACATTAAAATGATTATCAGGGAGAAGGGATCAGCTCTCTGCACAGGTTGAGAGCTCCCACCAGCAAAGGCAAGAGGACTCTGTTGTAACACTTTCCGTGTGTGCGCCCATCACAAGGCACACATCCCGCCAGTATAATCTGATGAAATAAACATTGCGGCTCGTCATCAAGAGATCAAGCATCAAGTTAAGGCTCTGAAATGTGTAACCCTGAGCAGTCAGCGACTACCCTGTGGTGCTATGGCTGCTCTCAGGGAAACTGGGGACCCAGTAACTAGGGCAGCCCTGGAGGGGGGAAGGGGACCGAAGGGGAGGAAGGATGGTTGCAGGGGGGTCACTTACGAGACGTAGGCTGGGTAGCCGAATCCTATCAGGTTGCACAGGAGAGAGGCTCCATAGCCGAACATCAGGTACAAGGCCAACAGCCCGATGACACCTGGATTCGAGAAGAGAGAAGTGGGTTGAGTGGCAGAGAGGTACTCAAGCCCCACAGCCCCCGCCCCAACCTCTCCCCGCCTCCCGTGCCCCCCCCCGCCACCCACCCAACGAAACGCAAGTCTTGGCCGCGTAAGGCGCTGGAGAAAAACAGAAAATCTTAGTGGTCAGTTTTTAAGGAAAAACGACGATGCGAGCCAAGCGGTGGTATGCCCCACTGTCCCAGATGAGGGACTACTAGGTTGGCAGAAGATCAAAGCCGAGAAGAAAATAACGAAGACTCGCAAGGAAAGTATCTCAGTGCACGGAGAGCGCATAAGATCCTGTATCTTTAAAAATATATGAATAAAATGATTGTCAACGGAAGTCGTCTAGTGCACTAGAGCGTGGAGTATTACCTCTATGGAGTATTG